CAATAAATTATATGTAGTGTTAAAATAAAGTTCAAATCTATATAATAGAATAAGGAATAAAAAATGGAAAATTTAATAATGTAATTGTTATATATATTATTATTATTATATTAATATATATATACTTACGGAATTTCAGAGTCAACATTATTATTATAATTATCAAAATTATCACTATCATTGTCATCATCTTCATCACCATCACTCAAAATAATAGGATTATTGTAAATACTTCCAGTGGTTTTTTGACATTTCATGTTTATTTAACAAGTTAATTGATTTTTGGGAAATTGTTATAGAAAAAAAATAAAAATAAAAATCCTGAGGATTTTTATGAAAAGAATTATAAAATTTTATATTAACTTTAAACAATTGAAAAAATCAACAAATTATAGCATTAATGTGAACTATTCTAAAAATGCAATAGTAGATTGTGAAAAGAAAATTCTTTTACTCATGAAAAAGGTGAGGTATTTTGCCTTATAATATAGATTTTAACAATTGGAAATTTTAACATTGTAACATGAATGTGAGCTGTAATCAATAAGTCAGTCATGTTAGAGTGGACCCCTGTGATCAACTTATCAAGAGAACCAAGTTATTGAATTTCACATGATTTTTTAAATTTAAAAATTTTAAGATATTTATCTCAAACATTAGAAGGTTGCAAAATCAATCTTTTTATACATATTTCTGAACATAATAAAATTTAATAGGAACACAAATGTGTTTCTTCACAATGACATAAGTGATGATATAAAAATGATGATATAAAAATGAAATAAATGTATTGTTCATAATTAGGCAGAATGTTCTCTAAATTCTTGATGATATAACTGATGAATATATTAATGCATTATTTATGAGAAATGAATGATACAATCAATGATACAACTGCCAAGATAATAAAATATTAATGCATTATTCATGATAAATCAAATGATTAAAGCAAAAAAAGTTCTCTTACATCAGATATTTTATTACAAATAATTTTGCAAATGACGAAATATTACAAACAAAAAATTAAATTACACATTACTAAAATTGTAATGATGACCCTTCACATAATGAAATATCACATGAGACTGATTTATTGTGATTTCATTTAATTATACTTGGGCTAAGTGATTTATTGAGTTTACATATGTAGTAGGTTTTTTCAGTTTTTCGCGTAATCTTTTTTGGATTTTCTGCACCTATTAGTCTGTACCACATCAATTAATAATTCTTCCTAAAATAATGAGTTGTTCACTAAGTGCACTTTTGATTTTAATTTGATGTTAACTGTTAACACCCTTGGAACTGTCTGTTAATATTTTAATCTACATTTCTGTGGTTGATAATAATAAATTGATGCATTGTAAACTTTGCTACTAAACAAATTATAATATTAATATTCATGTTCAAGACCTAATGGCTAATACCATGTAAAACATTTTATATATGTACAGTTGCTATTTTTAGTAATTGGTATAAATAATTAAAAGTCAATTATTTATTATTCCCAAACAATAGAAATTGATTGCTATTGATCACTAGCTCTTGAGAAATATCAATAGCATGATCTTCATCATACTAACTAAATAGAAACTAATCAATTCAAAATAAACAAAAAAATTTAATTTTTTTATTATCCACATGGGAAAAAAATTATGCGAACAAATTTCAAAAAAATAAACTTGAAATTTACCACCAACAAAAACAAAAAATTACAGATTTTTTACTATGCTCCCTCCTATGAATTTGCAAGAAAAGAAGCTATCATTACAATGTGTTGAAGTTGTAAAACCTCTGATTTTCAAAAAGGAATTCAAAATTAGCAAATTATTATTGCAAGATGGTTCTGTATGTTCCATCCATAAAGAAAAATATACAGGAGAATCCTACATGTTCCGTCTATAAAGAAAAATATACAGGAGGGTCCGTCTATAAAGAAAATATACAGAAGGTCCTGTATTTAATATGGGTCCTGTATATTTCATCTACAAAAGAAAAAATACAGGAAGGTCCTGTATATTCCGTCTATAAAGAAAATATAGGGAGAGTCCTGTATATTCCGTTCATAAAGAAAATATAGGGAGGGTCCTGTATAGTCCGTTTATAAAGAAAATATAGGGAGAGTCCTGTATAAAAGATGGGTCCGTCCATAAAGAAGATATACAGGAGGGTCCTGTATATTCCGTCCATAAAGAAGATATACAGGAGGGTCCTGTATATTCCGTCCATAAAGAAGATATACAGGAGCGTCCTGTATATTCCGTCCATAAAGAAAAAATATACAGGAGGGTCCTGTATATTCCGTCCATAAAGAAATATACAGGAGGGTCCTGTATATTCCGCCCATAAAGAAGATATACAGGAGGGTCCTATATATTCCGTCCATAAAGAAGATATACAGGAGGGTCCTGTATATTCCGTCCATATAGAAAAAATATACAGGAGGGTCCTGTATAAAATATGGGTTCTATATTCCATCTATAAGTTCTGTATATTTTGTACAAGATGGTTTTGGTTATTTGTATTTTAAGAGTCATTCTTGTGAAGATCAATAATATTAAATTTTGAAGCATTCATTTCATTGTAAAAATAATACAATTTTATTTTTACTTCTTAAACAGTATTATTTTACAGCCCCCCATATCCTACACAACTTCCTCATAATTTGTTAAACCATTGATAATGATGACGACATGATTTTTTTTTTTAAATAATAATAAATTTATATTATATTATTAATCACGCACATGAATTAGCAAGGGTTCACGCAGATCATAGGTGCCACTTCCAAATTAGGAAGGTCCTGTATATAGGATTTTCCTATATTTTACACAATTATACTTTAATAAAAATAAACTTCAACTTGGGAAAAAAAAAAAATTTTTATTTTTGATGATCTGCAAGTGTATTAATAATGACACAGTCAAAAAAGTTTTTGTCCGCACTTTTAGAAAACAATGATTACTACAACTATACTCTCAGTGGTATCAATAGACCATTTGTTACTTTAACTTATGCACAGAGCCTTGATGGCAAAATTTCAGGAATTAATGGTAAACAATTACAATTAAGTGGTGAAGAATCGATGATGATGACACATAGGTTGAAACAAAATAAAAGAATTAATGAATGGTTAAATGAATAAATATTTAGAGTTTTTATATATATTTCTGTTTTTATGATTAGGATGAGAACACTGCATGATGGAATATTGGTTGGAATTGGAACTGTATTAAATGATGATCCAAAACTAACAGGTTAATTCTAACAAAATAGTCCTGATATATAATTTGTCAGTTAATTGATAAATGAATTATAGTGTATGGATGATGATTGTTTTTTTAATTTAGCAAGATTGTTGGAGCCTGATATGGAGACCACAATTCAACAACCACAACCAATAATTCTTGACTCAAGTTTAAGATTTCCTTTAACATCAAAGCTACTACAACAATCTCATTATCAAGGATTTAAAAAACCATGGATTTTTACTAAAAATTTACATGATTCAAATAAAAAAAAGGTATAAATTTGAAATTTTATGATATTTATGAATGAATTTAAAGAGTTATTATTATTATCATCATTAGATTTTAGAACAAGAAGGTGCAAAAGTTATAACAATTAATACAGACGAAAGTGGTAATATAATGAAAATTGTTTGGTTAATTGTTTATTATATTTACATATAAAATATTTATTTATTTATTAGGAAAACTTTCGATTGTTCATTTATTAGAAGAATTAAATAAATTATCAATTAAAAGATTAATGGTTGAAGGCGGAGCAAAAATAATCCAATCATTTCTAAAAATAAATCTTTTAGATTTAATAATTGTTACTATTGCACCAATCTATATTGGGTTTAATAGTGTCTCAGTTACAGGAAGTAGTGAAGGTCAAGATGAAGAAGATTTAAAAGTAAGATTTAATTGTAACATGTAATTTTTTAATAATATTATATATATATATATTAATTTTTTTATTAATAGAATAAAAAAATAGTTGAAAAAAATTTTCCTAAATTAATCAATGTAAAATATGAAATACTTGGTAAAGATATTATAATGACAGCAAATACGGAAAAATAATGATTTTTGAAAATAAATTTTATTTTAATGCAAATTAATTCATGTGAATGAAATCTTTTTAGATAACTTTTATTTAAAAAATATCTGATATTAAAAACAAATGGTGTTGGGAATTTACAACTATAAAACATCTGATAGCACAAGTAACTGTCTCAAATACATGTATAATTAAGGCTCTGCATGAGCTGGCATGCAAGGAACTTTATGTGTAATATTGAAAAATCACCAACTGGGTCTACTAAAACTTTAACCAAATCTAGAAGTAAACAGCTCCAATTAATACACCATCTGAATTCATCATTATCATTTATTTACAAGCACATCAACATCACATTTAGTGTTCCATGTCGCAATCCAAAAAAGGAAACAAAATGGTTGTAAAGGTGGTTGCAACCAGTGGTTGCAATCGTTTTTATATGACGCAAAGATGGTAGCAACCATCATCAAAAGTTGCAGCCGGTATCCTTAATCACATTACATATATATATATTCGCCCAGGTTGTCATTTTCATTTTATAAAAACTAAAAATGTTCCACACAACTAATTATGCATATGACATAGTTTAGGTTATGCCATTTCTATTGAAAGGCTCCATACATGTTACTAATAAAAAAAATTTGGCTGTTACTCTTGAAAAAACCCATTTTTATATTATTAATTGGAAAGGATGGGTTAGTTTCATACATGTTGCTGGCGATAAATATGATCTTTACTATTGAGACAAAGTCAATTTTTTCTGAAACTCTCAAAAATAAAATAAAAAAGATTTTTATTTATTTGTTTCAAACAATAAATTAACTAAAAAGTGTACATAATTTAAACTGTCTAAAGTACCAATTATATATAATAATAACAACAACAATAATAACCATTTATTTCTTTAAAAAAAGGTAAATCTAAAGTAAAGAAATCTAAAAATTCAAGAAAAATTCTTCATTTTTAATGATACCTTGTTTATTATAGTATTGAATAGCTTTTAAATGTTCAAATGTAAAATCCCGTTCATCATTTGACATTTTACAAACATCTAACCAAAGTTTGATATTAGAAAGTTGACAATATTCTAGGAACTTGCATAATTTGTTTATAGAAAATTTCCATTCACCATCTAATTTGATTCTATTTAAACTTTTTGGTCGAGTTGAAAATAATAAATCAAATAATAAATCACCATCAATCTTTGGTTCGTTTACTCCTCTGATTAAAATTGATTTTAAATTTTTACAATTTTGAAATATTTGTTTAAAATTCTTTAATGATGAAGATATATTATTACTATCATGACTATTTTCTTCTTCATTTAGACTTCTCCCGTCATCACCATCAGCTGCAGTGTTGGTGTTATTGATGAAACACCAAGTAGTTAGAAATTCCAAGCTTGGACAAAATTTACTAATTACCTGATTAAAATTGTTGATATTTTCTGGATCTGGAACATACCAATAATTCAAATAAATTTTTCTTAGACTGTAATTTGTATTTAAGATAAGATTTGATAATATTTCAAGAGGTAAAGGTTCAGTTTCTAAATAAATAATTTTTAAATTTTTGAAATGTGCAAATTCTAATTCTTGTATAATATCATTAATAGAATCTCTATTTAACCAAAATTTCAAAGTTTCTAAATTTGATAATTGAGATATAGTGTTTAGTAGTAAACATAATTCACCACCACCATAACCAAATTCAAATATGGAATCTTTCTTTTTGATAATAGCTTTGGATATCTTAAAACATTTTTCATTTGAGTCAAATCTATCCCAATTTGAACACTCAACAAATTTTAAATTTGATTGGTTTTCAATTAAATTCGCCAGACCCTCATTATCATTGTTACAATGATCTATAATAATTTTTTGTAAACTTTTACAAAATTTTGAAAGTTCTGAGAATATTTCAGATTTCAATTGAGCCTCACATCTTAATTCAACTAGATTTGACAAGCTAGTATTTGCACCTGGAAACCAAGGAATTAAAATGTCTGATTCTCTCAAATGCAAATATTTAAAAGTTGAACATTTACTTATAAACATTTTATAAATTTCTTGTTTTAAAAGTTTCTTCATATCCTTTAGACTGATTAAAGATGGTGGTGGTGATGATGATGAAGGTGGTGATGATGCAGTGTTCCTATTATCATTTAATGATAATAAATTTTCTTTTCCAATAGCTGAATCAACCATATAATTTATATGATACGAAGGTAAATTTCTACAATATCTTGCATAATCAAACAATGGAGATCTATTCGTAGGTTTTTTTATGATGATTCCACTTGAAATTAAATAATTCTTTGAATCATTTGAGAAACAAGAAATCAATGTTGATAAAATCGAAGATTCTTTATTATTCTTACAATAATGTCTACAAAATTTCCAAGTATCTTTCCATAATATTTCTACTGCAATATGACACCATAATTTATTTACAAAAAGACAAGAATGTAATGATTTCATGTCATCTTGTAATATTTCTATAATTTCTCTTAAACACTCTACTGGTAATTCTGAATTCATTTTAAAAAAATAGGAAAGAAAATATTTTTTATTGTTATATTTATTTATATATATTTTTTTTAATGTAATCCATTTATTTGTATTACATTAATCACTATTAATGTTACTGCACCCATGTATCCCGCTTTGAAAGTTCCTTCTAAAAAAAACGCAAGTGAATTCTAAGATACTTTACTGTTACAGAAACTTGCACTTCGCAAACATAGGCGTAGCCTATTGGTTATAAAAATGCGGGGGAAATTATTAACAGTGGGAACTATCAGCCAGCAATACAGTCTGGGATTATACCATAAATGGAAATCATTCTAGAATGATTTACAGTCACACCTCGAAATTTAATTGGCCTTTGACGATCTTTTCTGCAAAAAAAATCATGCCATTTTTGTAAGCCCAAAGAAGGTATTATTTTTATAGTACCAATAGGCTCGCCTAAATACACAGTTTAATAATCCACTTTAATCTACAAAGGTTTACATATTGGTTTTTTTTTCAATAAGAGACATACTTTGGCTTGAATTTTTACTCTTTTTGTGTATAGAAATTATTCAAATTCCTACAATGTCAAATAAAGACAACCAGCCAAATCTTTGCCATGTTTGTTTAAAGACATATTTGATAAATATTCAGAGAGCCAATTACAACTATGTAAAACTGTCTTGCAAACATGGAGGCGCACATCTGCAGTTGAAAGAGTAAATAAGTAAAATGAACCAAATAATTCATCATGGCAATTTTACTATTGAGTCTATTTTTAGGAAATTATTCATCATTTTAAATCCAGATCTATTATCTCTAGGTAAAAAATATTAAAATAATTCATTATGGCAAATGCAACTGAATGACTATATTAATATAATCAACCAGAATTAGGCTACTAAATTTTTATTAACAATATATAGAACTTCTATATTGAAAATTCAATCGGGGTGTATCACGTTACATCGAATTTCCATGTGCACGGAAATATATTTTTTTTTTACCAAATTAATAGAGATGTTAATCAGTCCCAGAAAAAGTCCTAGAAAAGTCCCAAAAAGTCCTCAACCTTTTTTCAAACAGTATATTTATTATATATTTTTATTATATTAATTGCCGATCCTTTTATAATCAGCAGAAAATTTCCAAAAATTAATAAAAAATTTTGGTTAAGATAAATATAAGTTTTAATATAAATTTAAAATCTCAAAAGAACCAATATTAAATTCATTTCCTAATGTCAAAAACGCGTTTTATTCCTGTTACTCTTTTAAATAAAGGTGCTTTAATAAGTGAATTACATTATGGACCATTTTCACGTTATTGGTGGCAGTCTTCTGATAATGAAAAAGTGTTTCCTATTCGCATTGGACAAAGAATAGTAACTAATCTGAATGGGCATGACTTTTACGTTGAAATAGTTCACGGGAATAAAGAAAACTGTCATCTTCCAGGTTACATTTGTGAAACTAAGACTGCTCGTAGTGCTAAAGAAACAAGCCCCACAAATGCAATTTCTAGTATATATCAACTAATGTTTGATAATGTGGCGACTAAATTTTCTGGTCCACAAGTTATGGGATGGAATGATGAAGAAATTGTCAATAAGCTTTCGATTATTGAATCTTTTTGTCCTTTTTATATTTTTTTAGGTGATTTGAAAATTTTCATCCACTCAATAGGACGTTCGGAGGAACAACATTTAAAAAATGGAGGGACTGGTTATCAATCATCACTTATTTATAAATACAAACAAAAGCAATCATTATTTGTTTCAACAATAGAAGATGATGTTTGTATTATCAAAATTTACCATGAACATGAGATTATAGATTCATTCGAAGATACATCACCAATTGAAGTTTGGAAAAAAACTAACTATATTCAAAAATATGATGGCTATCAACTCTTTGGTTTAGATAATATTATTGTTCAAGATTTTATTAAAAAATATAAAGTTCCAAAATGTACACCAGATGAATGGGATAATTTTTCACTTATGAAAAATCTTTATGACTACAATTTGAAGAGAAGGGCTTTTGCCAATATAGAATGGCATAAATTTTTTACTAATTGGTTGGAGAAGGAAAGTACAGTGATTGAATTGTTTTCTCAGCTTGAAATAATTTACCAAAAAAATTATGCAATAAAAGAACGAGAATTATATGCATGGCAGGCAATGTTACGTGCATCAGGCTGTCATAATATCACACCATGGACCCAAGATGAATCAAAGGTAACATCAAACATCTATTAATTTGTTTATCATTCAAAAAGACTAATATTAGTTTATTAGTTACAATTATGGACAAAATCTCCAGATCATATCACAGAAAAATCCACCATTCATTCTCTCTATAAAATGGGTTTTTTGGTAAGTATGCCTATTCATATGTCAAACAATACTAACACTTTCTGGCCCTGTTTTAAGAAAGCTTTGAAAGGCAACAAAAAAAATCAAGATGGAAAACGGCGTACATTATCAATTATTGCAAATGACTTCACCTACCAAGAATTAAAAACAAATTTGAATGTAAGAGATTATGATTAGATAACATTTTCATTTGTATAATAATAAATATCTTAGAAATTAACTAAATGACTTGTCTCAAGGTTGGTGAACATACAATCTTAGAGGCACGTAAACATGCTGATATGTATGGACCTGGTGCACCACCTTTATCTAAACCAGTTATCACAAGAACAAGATTAAATGAAGAGCAATTGAAGCAATTTGAATTGTTTTTCAATGACAAAGCAAATGTTAATATGAGTTCATATAAGACAGAAACCAAAACAGGGTTACCTGTGTTATACTTACAGGATTCTAAGAGCTCTTTATGGGAGAAATTTCATGAAGAATATCCAAATGGAATGCAGCGTACTGCATTCATGAGCAGACTTCAAGGGGGTAGATATATATATAAAGAGAATATGGGAGGCCTTTGTTCTATTTGTAATGAATATGGATATGAAGTTTTTTCAGAAATTGAAGACATTTTGAAAAAAGACATTGAGAATATTCACCTTCAGGTATTTGCACTGACACATCAGCATTTGTTAATTATTTTATATTCAAGTACTGACTATGTTAAATGTTAATATCAATAATTAGAAAAAATTAATCGAAGGATTGCAAACCTTGAAAAGATATTTACGAAAAGACATTTCAAAAGAGTTTATTGTTAATCCAGCAGGAGAAGCTCTTCATAGTGATTGCATTAGTCATTGCCTCCTTTATGCGTTTGGGGAATGTAATCATATGCATTCAAATATTTGTAATAGTTGCAATTTTTTTTTTGAATTATTTGATAATATTCAAAATAATGTTAGTGCAGATCTCCAATCAATTATTGAAGAATATCAAAAAAAACTAATTTATTTTATGGGACACCATGCAAGAAAAACATACCTAAATGCTCAATTAAAAGCAAATTTGGCTAAATTAAATCATGAAGAAGCCTTGTTTATTGTAGACTACAAGATGAAAATATTGCCTAAAAATGCACGAGAGACTAAATCAGAGTTCTATGGTAAAAGAGGATGGACATTACATTCAGTATTAGTATATACTAAAGAAATTGGAAATGACAAATTGAAGATTGATGCTTACGATCACTGGTCAGATGATACAAAACAAGATGCCTGGTTTACAGCATCATCCTTACATGCTGTATTAGAAGTTATAGACCCCAAGCCAAAAAGGATAACTGTAATGTCAGACAATGGTCCACATTACCACAATACCAAATTGATGATTATATTATCTAAATGGAAGGAATGGTATGATGTTAGTGTGAACAAATGGATTTTTCTGGAAGCTGGAGAAGCAAAAACACCAATAGATTCTCATCATGCAACAGTAAATATACTTTTTGTTTGTAGTTTTTTTATATTCCACATTAATCTAACCTTGAATTTCAGTTAACACATGCAATAAATCGTCATGTAAAATTTGGCTTTACCATTGAATCTGGTGAAGATATTGAGATGGCCATAAAAAATACAGCTGGTATACATGTGGCTAATTTAGAACCAAATAGAGTAAAAGGTAAATAAAATATTCTCACTATTGAATGAGATAACAGATATTAAATTACAAATAATTCTTTGAAAGATAAAACTAAAAAATTAGGTACGATAGCTGGCATCACCAATTGGAATGAATGGGTATGGCCTGATGAAGGTGTTGAAAAAGGTTATATTTTTGCACGGCCTTTACCAGGAATTGGCTCTTGGATAAAATTTTCTCCCCAAAAAATTGGAAATATTCTAAAGAATTATTCTATCGAAAAACCCAATCCAAAAATAAGTCAACACACACACTCAGATAAACCATGGACAATGCCATTTGTGGAATACAAAGGTATAATAATTGCATCTGTAATATATATTTTATTTACTGATTGTGATTTTTTTTTTAATATTAGAAAATCCCATAGAAGAATGTGATATTGAAGTAGAGGTGAAAATAATCTAAATGAAAATTTTATCATTAAAAAATCTAAATATTTTTATTATTCTAATTTATAGGATCAAATGATAATTGATTATGAAGAAAATTTGGAGTTAGATCAGTCTAAAAGGTTAATTATTGATAATTGATGACATTTATAATCATATAATTTTTTCTTACCTTAATTTTGCAATAGATTATTTGTTTTTGGGTGGGCTTTAAAAGAATTTCAAAAGAATCAAAAACCACCAATTAAAAGAATGAGTCCAAAGGTAAAAAACTTGCTAGAAATTATGTTTCATACAGGAACAGTAAATCCAAACCAAAAAATGACAGCTGATAATATGCACAAAGAACTTTTGGAACGTGTGAAGAACGAAGAGCTTGAAGAAGAAGAAATTCCAAAGATTTCGACCATTGTCAATTGGATAACTAGAACCTATGCATGTTGGAAAAAACAAATGGCAGAAGAAACGTTGGACATATCTCATTCATAAATTTAATTTTTGGTCAATAAAAACAAAATAAAATAAATAATTTAGTTTTACTAATTTTTGGTCCAATAAAAACGTATAAAATAAATTAAATAATTTAATTTTACTAATTTTTTGAGCTCGAATCTGTCTCTCCCACTAAGTAAAGTCTTTCTCAAGACAAATGTTTAAAAATTTTTTTCGATATATAAATTAAGATAGATAATATGCAAGTCATCACGTGATTAAAATTTTAGGTTAATATATTTTTTGTGGATTTTTTTTGTGCTGCATTTTATGGTCATTTTAAAAAACATAGCAGATCGTCAAATTTTTACCCAAAATTTTAATAGTATTTTTCTGCCATTTATAAAAGGATCGGCAATTAATAGCTTTAAGGCAAATTATATACAAAAAATTTTTTTTACAAAAAAAAATTAGTGATTATGAAGAAGAAAGGAATGGCCAAGAACCTGAAAAAATTTCAATTAAACATGCAATTAAATATACAGCAAAAGCTTGGGAAAAAGTTACAAGTCAAACTATAATTAACTGTTGGAAAAAAACTGGTATTTTACCTGATGTTGATAATGAAATTGAAAATGCGACATCAATTTTAGGTTCATTGAATGTAGAAGAACTCAATAATTTGCAGAATTTGATTGATGAACTTGCATTTAATAATCCTATATCTGCAAGAAATTATGTTTCATACAGGAACAGTAAATCCAAACCAAAAAATGACAGCTGATAATATGCACAAAGAACTTTTGGAACGTGTGAAGAACGAAGAGCTTGAAGAAGAAGAAATTCCAAAGATTTCGACCATTGTCAATTGGATAACTAGAACCTATGCATGTTGGAAAAAACAAATGGCAGAAGAAACGTTGGACATATCTCATTCATAAATTTAATTTTTGGCCAATAAAAACAAAATAAAATAAATAATTTAGTTTACTAATTTTTGGTCCAATAAAAACGTATAAAATAAATTAAATAAATTAATTTTACTAATTTTTTGAGCTCGAATCTGTCTCTCCCACTAAGTAAAGTCTTTCTCAAGACAAATGTTTAAAAATTTTTTTCAATATATAAATTAAGATAGATAATATGCAAGTCATCGCGTGATTAAAATTTTAGGTTAATATATTTTTTTGTGGATTTTTTTTGTGCTGCATTTTATGGTCATTTTAAAAAACATAGTAGATCGTCAAATTTTTACCCAAAATTTTAATAGTATTTTTCTGCCGTTTATAAAAGGATCGGCAATTAAAAGGAAAATAATTTGATAGTTAAAGGGAATTTCGATTTATACAGAATATTCTTTAAACTACTTTTTTATTTTCAATCAAGATCATCTTTTAGTCTCTTTGACTTCAATTTGAGCCACTAGTTGACCATTCTGTTGTTGTAATTGAGTTAATTGAGTTTTTAATTTCTTTTTCATAAGCAGTTACTTTATCAACCAGTTCTTGTGGAGTTAACTTTTTCAGCCTTTCTAATTCGGCTTTTAGTCTGTTTATCTCATCCAAAAGTTCCTGTTTCTGTCTCTTACCCCATTCTTTGGACTTTTCTTGAAACTTGGCTACTTCCTCCCTTTCTATAGCAATGGTTCATTCGGCTTCATTTAGTTGTTCTTGTAAAGAGTTTATTTGCCTTTCGTAAAAAGCAGACTGACTTATTTCTTCATGAGGTAAAAGAGGGAGTTCTTTCTCCTCCAAATCTTCATTGTTTCTAATACAGTAGCAAACATTCTTGCCAGTAACAATATCAAAATCTAACTTAGTTTGTAATCTGCCACACCTATCACACTTTAGCAATTCATCATTTCAATACTTTTCTTCACAACTTTCACAAACCATGTCATCTGCAATTCATTCCCTGATTATTTTAGTGCGAGTCCTTATTTGATGAACAGATGCATTATTTCTGTTTTCTAGTTTAGAACAAAAATCACAAGTTTGCTTACTTTCTTTCTCTAATTCTAAAATTGTGTATTCCAGTTCTCTCATTGTAATCTACTTGTTATTTAGACTTTACTTCTACTTGAGCAATCATTTCTTGGTTGTGAAACTTTTCCTTTTTTACTAGACTTTGCAATTTTTGAATCTTAACTTTTGCTTTTATTTTTAACTGCTTAAACATGCTCTGTTTAGTCAAGAATGATTTATTTTCTTCTTCAACAGGTAGAGCAGGTAAGGGTTTGCTGTTTAAATAGTTCAAACTCTTTAAACTTTCATTTTGTGACTCACTATCAGATAATTGCTTACTTAGTTTTTCTATTCTTTTGCTCTTTTGGCTTGACTCTTCCTCTAACTTTTCAACTTGGGCTTCTAAATAAGAAATCTTTTCACTATTGCTTTTGAGTTTCTTATTTTTTTCTATCATATCTTCTGCTTGAGCTTTACTTCATTGTTCACCAACTTCTACAACTTTCTTAACTTGTTCCTGTTCTATTTCTACTCTCTCTTCTAATTTTTCTACTTCTGTTTCCAAATTTGCTTGTCTGTTTCTAAAACCTTAATTTTCTCTTTATATTCTTGATTTTGTTTACTTAGTTCCTCACATTCTAATGCTAATGCTCTTTTCTTTCTAAAAACTTCTTGGGGTTTGATTACTCATCAATGAATATTCTTTCAACCTATTTAGCCATTCTCTTTAACTGAAAAACCTATTCTTTCTTTTCATTCTTCTTGATTAAGCAATTCTGTTATTCTTTCATCAGAAAATTTATCATTATGAAGCACTATATCAGCAAGGATTTTACCCATGATCTCATTTTCTTTGATTGCTTTATCTTTATCAGCTAACTGCTTTTCTAAATCAGCAATTTTATTTAATGGTTCTTTATTTTCTTGTTGTTGTTCATTTATTATGTTTTTCATGATTTTTGTTTATTTAATATACTTATATCCTTAATTTATAAGAGTATATAAATTATTTTAGTACTTTTTTGCTTTAAAAGTGGAAAAAGCTAACAATATTTGTCAAAAGATTAAACTTATTAAACTTAATGAGAGTAAAGGACAAATTAACAGGTGTGATAAAGTAATAAAGGTGTTTGTTCTAAATATTTTATTTGTTGCCAGTATAGAATGGTCTTGGACAAGTAATATCTTTGTATTCATCTTTCACAAATGGACGAATATTCTGGTAAAGATATTCTTGTCTTTATAATCCAAAGGAGGTGGTGTTAACACTAAAATAGATAAAGCTTTAATTTCTTCAATAATATCTGTTCTCCTAATGAATGTCTTGTTGCCAAATCAACATAATCATGGTATCAAGTTTGCTCAAGTATATGATGAAGCTCTAGTTTCCAGCAAGCACTAATTGAAAAAACAATTGTCCTGAAACTTTCTTGTTGGACACAGAAAGACTTTGGAGTTTCCAGAATGAAGGACAAGCAATCACCATTGTAGCCATATTGGTTATGTTGACCAAGAACATTGCTATGGTTCCTCTGCTGATTCAATTAGCAAGGAGGAACTTGAAAAGTTGAAGAATAATCTTTTTGTGTTGTTGATGGATTGTGACATAAAAATGGACAATTTGACAATTAAAATTTTGTCACATTTCCCATCAAACATTTCATCTGAAACCCAATCACTTGTCAAATCCATGGATTCCAAAAAAGGAAGCCTTATCTCAATATGGTATTTTTCCTGTTGCTAAAGAATTGGAGCAACTCAGGTTTGTAAATTGCATTAATGACAATATATAATGGTGATATTTAATGATGATGATGATATTTATTTTATTTATTTATTTAGTCAAAAGATTTTCATATTGATGCTTTATAATTGAGAAGTTTATGCTAGTTGGTATGATAAAGTCATTCAAGAATGATCAGATAAAGTTAGAGAAGAAAATCAATTAAAAAAGAAAAAATTGCATCAAAGAACAATAGTACAAACAATAATCAATTTTCTTGTAATTAATTAAATATTTATAAAATACCAGATATTATATTTATTTAAAATAAAAATTAAATGAAAAATATATGCTGTTTTTTATTCAATTGAATGAAAATTTATAAAAATTAAATAATCACTTTGCTAATTTATAATAATATTCGTCCATTTGTAAGGGATGAATTTAAAGATGTTACTTGTCCAAAACCAATTTATGCTGACAAT